ACACACACACACACACTTACACGCAAAGATAAGAAAATTCCCGATAATTCGCGCAGCAATTTTGAAATTTGACAACGACACGCAGCTGTTAGAAGTCATTCAGGAATTCGGCAAAGAAAGAAAATTCTCGCTGTTCGAAATATGCGCGTTTAATTGGTCCTCAGGGTCGTGCCAAGAAGCGTGCAATGTTTCGTCGAGACAATACGTATTGGCGTGGAAACAGCGGATGATATTTTCGGTAGCTGAGTACCGAGCAGCGGATGGCGAATACTTCAAAAATTTCTGAAAACATATATATCGTGCACGACAATGTTCGCCCTACCAGGCGAAAATTGGAAATCGAAACGGGATAGATTAGATTCGAACGCGATTAACGTTCGAATTCCGCTGGCGAAACGAACTTCCCGAATTAGTTGAAAGTAGCAACGATGCACGTTTCAATTCGACGACGAAGCGAACGAGAAATTTGTGAAACGCAAAATCCTGTGGCTGCAAACGCTTTGGCAATGGCCACGTACTTGTTACATGTTTCTATCTTTGTTTCATGGCTGAATCGTCCAACTGTTAATGGTATGGAACCATCGACTCTATGAATTAACTGTTCGTTCATTGGATTGCGACAAAGAAAAGGGAGAAAATGAAAAAGAGAGAAACACAACGCCACGACGATTACGTGTCTGATATGACACAGGTCGAGAGATTAACAAAGCTAATAAAATCGTTGCACCACAACGAGCAGGATTAAAATTCGTTGTGAAATGTCTTGTATTTTTCTGGATAAAGACAACTCGTTCCGCTCGAAAAAGAAAAAGAGAAACACTCGCGTGTTGCGCGAGTCATTGATTCGAGAAGAGGGAATCGAGTGCGTCAGCCTGCGAAGATTATTATTACTCGATAAACAAACGTACGACTCGACACAATCGGAATTTCAAGAAAGGATATAACTCATAATAAAATACACTGTGTTTCTGTTGCTTGGCGAAAATGTTCCTATACTAGACTAGGTGTGTGTGTGGCCGTTGTCATTTGATCGCGTGACAAATAGATAATATATAGACGTTCGAATATTTCGCGAAACGATATAAACGACCGCGACGAAACGCAACGAGGGAACGAGGAAACACAAATAAAGTGGGCCGAGCCTCATTTTGGCGTGCAAAGACCGGGCACCGAATCCTCGGCGAATTTATTCAGCATGCCAGCCACGTGAATCAGGCAACGCGAATTGCGAGTTCGACTTTATTTGCGTTCGACGATATTTCCGGTCGTGTTTCGTGGCTGTGGACCGACCCTACGCAAGCTTCATGGCCCCCCTGCGTCACATTCCTTCTTCTTTCCTTTTCAACGCGTTTCTTGCGTGACAGAGTCGTTTATTTATACCCTGACCTTGGCCAATCTAAATTACTCGATTCACCCTCTCACGTCACGATAATCGCTGGTCAATTTTTTTTGGTTCGTTATGCCAATGCTAAGTGAAAACTGTCGACACGCAGGTTTTATAGTTCAAATGAAAAAGGAGGAAGTTGCGAGGAAGTTGCAAATGATAAATATAGCAACAAATAAAATCTTTTCAACGGAATGTCCATCGTTTCGTTCTGTTCTCCATTTTTTTCTAAATTGTCAGCTTCTCCACGGTCATTCCTCGAAAAGCTTTCCACGAAAATGTTTCGCCACGGCCCTCCGAACAAATGCAAAGAAATTCGATGATACGCAGAAATCGGCAGATGGTAGGAGAAACATCAAACAGACGCAGTAAACCCTCGGACCCTTCTTGGAACTTGGCGGTTCCTAGAAAGGGATAAAGCTGCAGCCTGAGGACAACGAGCGATGGCCGGAAACTTTCCGGTCATTTCTCAAACTGCAGCTCTTTCGAAGGCTGGCATCGATTTTACAATTGTATTCTTTGCACGTACAAAAAAAAAAAAAAAAAAAAAAAAAAAAACAAGAAAACTAGAAGGGAATCCTTCTGGAGGGATCTCGCGACGAAAATTTTTCCAATGTCAACTCGACGGAAATAAATGACATGTTTCGCAACGGGCGAGGGGGGGGGTGGAGAGGGGAGGGATCCAAGTTCAATGTTGAAACGAAAGCAAACACGTTCTCCGCGTGGTCCTCCGAGCTGGCCGATCGTATAGAATATAGATCATAGATCAACATCCGGCCCCGGAACGGTGCTCGGCTAAAAATACCGATCGATAGCTTATCCCCGTCGATATGATGCGCGGATGCAACGACGAAAAAGCATCGACGACTGCGGGAGAGCGGTGACTGCGAAATAAAGTGAACGGCGAGGATCTGTTGCGACGACAGGCTGTCATAAATCAACGAGCGGCGGATCGACAAGGCTCTGGCACCGTTGTCGATTCACAGCCCCCCGTGAGCATCGCGACGCGACGCTCGTCGATGCTATTTCGACGAGAAAATAGTGGGGCGTCTCTCTATTTCGGTCGAACGAGCCAGGGCCGTTCAGTCTGCGGCTTGGCTTCCTCG